GAGTGAGTGAGTGAGTGAGTGAGTGAGTGAGTGAGTGAGTGAGTGAGTGAGTGAGACACGGGTGAAAAAGGGGGGAGGGGGGAGGGGGGACACATCAGAAGTGAGGGAAACAAGAGGGAAGGTGGGGAGAAAAAAGGTATAAGTGAAACGCCCTTATCGACACTATTATGTTATTTAAAAGGCAGAACCTCCCAAACTAACACCCAGCTCGGAGAGGACCCAGCCAAGTGGGAAGTTCCTGTAAAGTGCCCATCCCAAGGACACAACGTCGGACCGAGCAGAGGCTAGAACCCACAATATCACGATCAGGAGTCCGATAGCCTAACCACTAGGCCACCGACGCCACCGAGAAGAAAAGGTAAGATAACAAAAGTTAAAACATGACATGAAAACAGAAGTTGGGATAAGGTAAGGTAAGGTAAGGTAAGGTAAGGTAAGGTAAGGTAAGGTAAGGTAAGGTAAGATAAGGTAAGATAAGATAAGATAGATAAGATAAGATAAGATAAGATAGGTAAGGTAAGGTAAGGTAAGGTAAGGTAAGGTAAGGTAAGGTAAGGTAAGGTAAGGTAAGGTATGGTATGGTATGGTAAGGTAAGATAGGCAAGGTAAGGTAAGATAGGTAAGGTAAGGTAAGGTAAGGTAAGGTAAGGTAAGGTAAGGTAAGGTAAGGTAAGGTAAGGTAAGGTAAGGTAAGATAGGCAAGGTAAGGTAAGATAGGCAAGGTAAGGTAAGATAAGGTAAGGTATGGTATGGTATGGTAAGGTATGGTAAGGTAATATAGGCAAGGTAAGGTAAGATAGGCAAGGTAAGGTAAGATAAGGTAAGGTAAGGTAAGGTATGGTAAGGTAAGGTAAGGTAAGGTAAGGTAAGGTAAGGTAAGGTAAGGTAAGGTAAGGTAAGGTAAGGTAAGGTAGGCAAGGTAAGATAAGGTAAGGTAAGGTAAGGTACGGTAAGGTAAGGTAAGGTAAGGTAAGGTAAGGTAAGGTAAGGTAAGGTAAGGTATGGTATGGTAAGGTAAGGTAAGGTATGGTAAGGTAAGGTAAGGTAAGGTAAGGTAAGGTAAGGTAAGCTGAACTTTATGAGTTGACAGGGGAAACTTTGGGAGGATATACCAGAAGATCAACATACAAAGATTCAGCATCTGCACTGTGTATATGGGTATGTGTGTGTCTGCACTGTGTATATGGGTATGTGTGTGTCTACACTGTGTATATGGGTATGTGTGTGTCTACACTGTGTATATGGGTATGTGTGTGTCTACACTGTGTACATGGGTATGTGTGTGTCTACTACTGTGTATATGGGTATGTGTGTGTCTACACTGTGTATATGGGTATGTGTGTGTCTACACTGTGTACATGGGTATGTGTGTGTCTACTACTGTGTATATGGGTATGTGTGTGTC